TGTGGAACTCCTTTCCACTGGAGTGACCGGCTGCCCGAGTGGGTTTCTTAAATGGATGGCTGTGGCTTCCTGCGTTGAATGTGATTTTGGTGTTGCTTTTATTTACCACATTTTAGTACAATAGTCATTTGATCCTTTCCAGTAATTGTATGCTCATTGTTTTAGCTTTAATATTGCCATTTAATGATGTAAGGTGCCTCTTTATACTCATTGTTAACTTTAAATATTGTCTTCTAATGATGTGAACCTCCATTGTATAGTCATTGCTTTCAGCTTCAAATGTATTTCAATTATGTAAGCCATCTTGGGTCCTTTTTAAGAGAATGGTGGGGTAAAAATATTTTAAATAAATAATAATTGTAATTATAAATATGAGTTTTGCTCCATTGCTAAGCCTCACGGGTAGGCTGAAGGCAGGATGTATTTCATTTCTGGGTTTTTCTCCTCCTCCTGTGCCTTTAACACAGAGATAAGCAGTAGTGGTCCTCCAGATGTTGTGGGCCACAACTCCCTTGCAGGTTAAGACTGATGGGAGTTGTAGATACACACAGAGAGAGACCAAAAAAACCCAGATAGCCACAGTAGCCCATTTCTGCTTTAACAGCAAAGCAAGGGGGGCATGGTCTTTACCGCTTTGCTAAGTATGGCCTCACCTTCTCTGTTTCTGTCCATCGGGCTGATGTCCAAGACAGAAGAGCAAATCTGGAAGAAAAGGTGGCCATTTTAATTGCTACTCTCACATCTGGCAAGGCTCCAATCCAGCTACAGAGCAGATAGAAACCGGTGAGGTTTTCCAGATCAGTACAGCTGTCCGAGAGCAAAAGCTGTGCTGTTCTCTCTCTCTCTCTCTCTGCCTGTCACACAGTAGTCACAATGAAAATCAGCTGCTCTTCGTGTTTTGTGCCCTGCAGGTTGTCCGAACGGTAATGGAGACCAGACCTCAAAAAGCGATTTCGCACAGCTTCTGAGGTCCCCGAATGCAGACTTGCCTTTGAGCCTTTCGGTGTATTTAACACGTCAGTTTAAGAGATGTTATTTCTGAAACGAAAACAAGGGGAGGAAAAAGCCCCACAGTCGAACTTCAAATGTGCTTCATGAGACTGAAAGCGACATTTCACTCGCGAACTGCAGTATTTGTGAAAACTAATCCGATTGAATGCCTGTGGCCAATCCATGTACAGCGGAGTCGGGGGAAGGTCGCATCCTGAGATCATGAAGCAGGCCATTTCACATTTTTTGAAAGCCTCTCACAGAGGAGGAGGCGGCGAAGAAAAACAACAACAATAATATGGAAAAAATTACAGCCTCCTCCCTGAAAGCAGAAAGCTAGCATTTATTTATTTGAGGCATGGCTGCATGCTAAAAGCACCATATTTTCTCAATTTTGGTCCACAAGTATTCCGAGATAGACTGTCTCTGAATATGAAGCCCCCCCCCAAGCTGCCACAGCTGATGATAGAATGACTTATCTCTTCGTGGGCTTTTCTAATTTCCCTTTAAAACCCACATCTCACTTGTTAAGCCTGGGTTCTCCATAACCCTGCTACATACAACATAGATCACACACAGGGGCCAAGTTTTCATTCAGCTTCCATGGATGTGATTTTGAACTCCTGCCCATAAATGCAGCAGATCCTGGAAAATGCAGACCTTTAACTCTATGCTTTGTGTTTGTTTGTTTTTAAAGCTACCCCCATGAATCCCTACATTTCAAGCAAGAGTTTAAAAGGCTCGGCTGCAGAAGCGGGCAACCTGGTCTCCTTACCAGGAAGGAGCAGAGAGGCACGTAGGGAATAAAGCTTCCCAAATCGTTCAAGGAAAGTTTGCATAAAATAAAACCGATCCAGATGACGGAATTTTGAGGCGGCTTTGGTTCCTAATTCCGAGGAAGCAGAAACCCAAAACGGCCGGCTTGGCATTTATGTTGGGCAAGACAATTTTGGGCCTTTTCATATAGGGCACTGGGCTTTGCAAAGCGCATCAGACTCCTTGGATCTGGAAGCACACACCATCCCTTCGGTCCCCACCAGTGTTTGGTTTCTGCTGCACAAACACAGTAGGGACCCCAGAACGGAAATTACTTCCCCACTGTTTATAGCGATACAATCTTATCACTCCCCCCGAGACATTCTTTAGTAGGTGAGGAGCGGAAGTAAGGGAAGTAAACACACGTGCACAGTACCCAATACACATCCTCTCCTCGGGGTGCGCTTAACTTGCAATGTCACATTGGGTAAGATCTCATTTACACCTTGCCCTTCCCCCACCCCCACCCCAAAGTATATTTATGATCCAGCTTGGGTGTGAGAACTGGATAGTAAAAAAAGCTGACAAGGGGGGGGGGTTTGTTGTTGTGGTTGTTTTGAAATTTGCTGCTGGATGGGGATGTGGTGGACTGACAGAAAGATGGACAAGTGGGTCCTAGAGCAAATCAAGCCTCTTGGGAGGCAAAAATGTTGAAACTCAGGCTCTCCTCCTTTGGGCACACCATGAGAAGGTAGGATTCTCTGGAAAAAAGCAATAAATCAAGTTCTGTAAGTGTGAGAACTGGATAGTAAAAAAAGCTGACAAGGTGTTGTTGTTTTTTGAAATTTGCTACTGGATGGGGATGTGGCGGACTGCCAGAAAGATGGACAAGCTGGTCCTAGAGCAAATCAAGCCTCTTGGGAGGCAAAAATGTTGAAACTCAGGCTCTCCTCCTTTGGGCACACCATGAGAAGGTAGGATTCTCTGGAAAAAAGCAATAAATCAAGTTCTGTAAATTAAACTTAGCCAAAGAAATGAGACGTGTCTTTAGTCACATTCACCGTTTTCGTCTTGGGATCTCCTTTGCACGTGGGATTTGTCAGGAAACCGGTTTCCTGGGCACAAGATCTTGGAACAGCCTAAAAGATCCTGAACAATATTCTAAGGCAGGGGCTCCCAGCCACACGTTCTTGGACCAAAACTCCCAGAAGCCTCTGCCACTAACTCTGCTGCCCAGGATCTCTGGGAGTTGTAGTCACAGAGTTCTAGAATCGCGGAGTTGGAAGGGGCTTCTAAGGCCATCAGGAACCAACCCCCCTGCTCAAGGCAGGAATCCAAATCCAAGCAGATCTGATAGAGGGTGGCCCAATTTTCTCTTGAAGGCCTCCAACGCTGGAATACTCACCACCTCCCAACCAAGGTCTTTGGTTCCGTTGTCGTAATGCTCTAACAGTTAAGAAGTTTTTCCTAGTATTCAGCCTGAATCTAGCTTCCGGTAGCTTGAGCCCATTATCACGCGTCCTGCACTCTGGGGTGATCAAGAAGAGGTCGAAGACCATCTGGAACCACAGTTCTAGGTTACAGCCTCAGTCCTTATACAGTGGACCCTCTACTTACGGAATTAATCCATATTGGAACAGTGGCTGCAAGTCCAAAAGTCTGTAGGTCGAATCTCCATTGACCTACAATGCATTGAAAACTGATTAATCCCATAACTACTCACCACCTCCTAACCAAGGTCTTTGGTTCCGTTGTCATAATGCTCTAACAGTTAAGAGCTTGAGCCCATTATCACGCGTCCTACACTCTGAGGTGATCAAGAACAGGTCCAAGACCCAAGCTTGGGAACCACAGTTCTAGGGTACAGCTTCAGTCCCTATACATGTGTGGGCATGGATCCATCAGGTTCATAACTAGCCATGTTGACAGCCAAGGCTCCACCGCCCTGTTGGTTCATTGGATGTTTGGGGCCAAGGGTACGGCCGCCATCTTGTTTTGTCCTTCCTTCTGTGTGTGGAGAACTGGACGGCCTATGCATGGCAGAGCAGGTGAGCTTGCCTCCTTCCAAAGGCAAACTCCTATGCCCCCTCAATTTCTACACCCGGGGGGGGGGGGGAAGCCAGGTTGTTGGAGGCTAGTTACAGTTCTCGTCTCTCTGTCTTTACACATGTGTATTCAGCTGGCTGTGCTTAGCCTTGAATGCAGGCATACATGAATGCGGGCATACCACAGAACATACCAAAGATACACACCTTACCCCTCTGCCTTGTAATCCAGGCGGAGATCATCATTTTCCAGCTAGCTGGGTATTTTTGTTTTGTTTTGTTTTTTGGTCATCTGCCATTATTTGCCTTCTGACCGAGGAAGCCCAGATAAACTTCAACCTTGACACTGGTAACAGCAACACCGAAAAAAATACCTATTTTAAAATACAGATATCACTGCCTCTATTTTGTGTTTCCCTCCCACGCACCAGTCAGAGAATATCTCCCCCAATCTGATAAACACCCGCCGTTTTTCAAGAAACTTGTTTGCACCGGAGACGGAAGATCTGCGAAATTTTGGAAAAATAAATGTTGCATTTATTTCTGGGGGGGGCGGGGAAGCAGGGGGAAAGCAAAGGGGTTAGAAAAGGTTTGAAATACACGTCTTGAACGGCAAGAAGGGGGGAAGAGAGGTGGGAGCATCAAATAGAATCCATGTGGCACAATTATGGAGGTACAAAAGAGACTCGTGTTTCTGAGAGAAGCAGTTAGCAAATTAATCTGTTCTGATGCTCGGTTGACAGAGGAAGCATTATGGGAAATTGTTTCCATCAGTATTTTGCTTTATAAAGGTGCACCGGGGAGGGGGAGAGAATGAACCGAAGCCTCTCCTCAAGAACACTTCTCTTTTCCCCACTCTTAGTAAACATGATCATTAGCTTTCTTCTGTTCTCTCGCCTCACCGATTTTGAGTTCCTGAGAGCAACTTTCTAGAATCCGAAGTGCTAAATATTGTCCTGATGAGCCGAATTTCCTTGTTGAATCTGAAGGAAAAAGATCTTTGCTAACAGGGGAAATCTTTAGTTTCTGAGTTGCAACAGTCCACTGCTTGTTCAAAAAAAGGACACAGCAGCCCCGTCAGAGAAAAGCTGGCAATTTGCGTCATGGCGAGAGGGTTGTCATTTATAAAAACCGGCTTGGCTCCTCTGCTTTTCACCACAGCCGACCAGAGAAAAATGAAACCAAGCTTTCTGCTCTCTGATCTCTGTAAAAAAAAGGGGGGGGGAATCATCTGCTTAAGGTTTGCAAATGAAGCTGCTGTTTAAAATACAGGACCATTAAAAAGATGGAGACTCAGCTGGGTGTCTTCTGCTCTCCCCCTCCCCGAAATGTTCCTGTGCTTCCAAATGTGAAGGAAAGCTTTACCTGTTGAATGTCTCCCATGCCAGCTGTTGACAATACATCAGCCCTGCCCAGAATGGGAGGAGGGAAGAAATCAGTGTTGAGTGGAAGTGACCTTCTAAATCAGAGTTTACATCCACCAAGACTGAGGCCCGAGACCCATTTCTAGACATAATCCGTGTTCTCCCACAGCTAAGATTCAAACTGACACAGAGCCCCAAAGAGTCTGCCAGTAACACCCCACAAACCCTGTTCAAGGTGACTTTTTTCCTCACATATTTTGGATTATAACCTGTGCTTCCATTTTTTAAAAAAAGCTGATACCCATCTGTGTCAAATTCACCTGCAAGTGTTTGGTTTCAGGAGAAGTGCTTCTAAATAGTTTTCAGGATGTTTCAGGAAGCATCCGAAAATTCTGGACCCTCGTGCCAAGTGGACGGGGGCTTCTGGGAGCTGACAGCCAAAACATCTGGAGAGATGGTTCCCAGGGTCTGCTGTGCAAATCAAGGATGGGTGGATTTCAGGCTCACAGGATCTCCTTTGCTCCTTTGTTTTCTCCTCTCTCTTGCAGATTCTGGAGATCCACCAACCAGCCAAGTGAAAAAGAGGGAAGTTTTTTTCTTGCAAGAGAAAACATCCCCTGGGAATTTCCCAGTTTTCCAAAAATCTGACAGTCATAAAAAACTAACTTTCCAAATCCTAAAAAGAACTATAGGGCCGGATCCAGACTGAGAGTCTTTGAAACTAGGAGACTCACTGAAGACTCATTGAGGTCAATGGGACTTGGTCTTGTTGACTTAAGCCTTGTTGGCTTCAATAGCTGTACTCTTAGAAGGATTACATCTGGGCACAATCTATAATTATTCCCTACCTCCCATTATGACCGACATTCAGCTTTCCAGTCTTTAGAGCTGGAAAGGGGAAGCTTTTCTCCATTCCTCCCTGACCCATCACTCCATCCCTTAATGAACACTTTTTCTGGTGTCCTGCATAAGGCACCCCGTCTATTTCAGCCTTTCCTGCACACCAACTGGATAATCATGTCAATTACAGCCAGATTGCCAACTTTTCACCTGGCCACTGAAGATGTGCCTTTAACAAACAGCTTAAGCTGAATGCACTTAGCAGATGATGGTGTTGATATTCAGGCTGGCCACAGCCCTTGCCTCCTGGATTCTGAAAACCAAGCTGCCCTTAAAGACATCATAGCATACCAGATTGGATTTTTCTTTCATAAGTTGGCAATCCTAAATAGTAGCAAAATGCAAGCAGAGGCCTTGCTACATCAGTGCGCTTGTGTATGTGGGCTTATGCACAAGCATGCAATTTAAAAACTTGTTTTTCCTTACCCGACCCGTATGCTGAATTTGATATTATCTTTTAGGATTTTAGAAGCAAAGAAATTTAAAAAAAACAGTAGGAACATCTGGTCCCATTTCTGTACCTTTGACAACAGCCTTGCATGTAGAGAGTTAGCAGTTGATGCTTCTTCCTGACAGGGAATTGAAATTTCATCATCAACCACAAAACCTTTTCTGGCTAAATTTCTCCAAGCCAGGCCGCCGTTGAGGGCTTCAGGAACAGGGCTGATTTTTAAAAGGGTGGCAACCTTATCTTGCCTTATGGTGGAAGGTGAGGCATTTGGCAACAGCTGGCAGTAACCCATCGCCCACAACAGCCAAAGTTTTGCTGAAACACCCCTGCCCCCCCCCCCCGTGGAAACCAAGCCATTCAGGTGGCCAGTTTGTGCTACTAGCCCCAAAGCTGTGCCTCTCGGCATTCATTTGAGGTGCAAACATAGAAACAGGTAACATTCTTTCTGTGTGTGTTTTTCCTCCATATACCAGTTTTCATGTAAAGGCACAGTCCTGCCAACTTCATCCTGACCCATTGGCATCTCTGTGTCGTGTTAAGTGAATCCCTGAAAAAATAATCTTCAGTCTTTCCTGAGGATTGAGAGAGAGAAAGAAAAAGAGAGAGAAAGAGAGAGAGAGAGAGAGTTTTCAGAGGGATTGTTTCAGGCCCTAACTTGGGCAGCTTACTTTTGGTGGCCTACTCAGAGGTCAGGAAACACAAAAGGGGGTTCTCCACCAGCCCAGAAGGGAGGGGTGGGTGGAAAACACACCATCTGGTCTGAATTTTTGCCTGCATCTTCAGCAGCCCTTGGGTGTGAGAGGGGGAGGCACCAACGTCCGAAACTTTTCAAAGCCTGGAAACAAAACCCATCATGAGCACTTACTAAGATCCGCACTTCCCATGACAGCTAACGACGCCGCAGCGGTGAGATCCTGTTGTAAAGCTGACAGCGCCTTGCTGAGCCACAGGGTTCAGAAGGCAAAGCGTTCCTTGACCCCAGGGATGAGAAAAGAAGATTTTTGGCATCGGCACAGACTCTTTTTAGTTGGGGTGGGGGAGAAACGCTTTGGCTGAACATATGTGTAAATGTGCGTGTCTCGATGCATACGTGTCTCTGTCCACGCATACACACACACACCTGAAGTAAGCGTCCCGCTCTCCAAAACGCTGGCGCCTGCCCAGCTCACTCACCTCACTCCCCTGTCTGCAATACCCAAGTGCCAACCAATAAATAGGATTTTTGGGGGGGGGGTTGTTTTCTTTCAACTGCCAGCTGAGCTTCCTTCGCCAGGGGCACCCCTGGGCTCTCCTGATGGCTCACTCAGTCCATGGCAGGGATCCCCGGGCTTTCTGTGCCACCCCCCCTCCCTCTCACCAGGCTGTCCGTGTCCACTGCCGGCAGAGAATCTTCCTGAAAGCCTTCCGGAAGTCCTGGTTGAAGATGGTATAGATGACAGGGTTCAAAGAGCTATTACAATAGCCAATCCAGAAGAAAAACTTGAAGGTGCTTTCTGGAATCGGGCAACGCTCCGGGGGACAGACAGCCCGGAGGCTATAGAGGAAGAAGAAGGGGAACCAGCATATGACAAAGACCCCGATCACCACGGCCAGGACGAAGGTGAACCTCTTCTCCCGGTTGAGGTGGGTCTTCCTCTTCCAAGGGCTGGTGCTGAGGGTCTTCACTCTCCTCACCAGCAGCACCTCCCCTCGGGCCGTGGCCAGGGTGTCCATGCCCTTAGGCGAGCCCTGCGGGGGTCCATTGCTCTGCTTGACATTGCTGCCTGGAGACAGGTCCAGCTGCCTGGACTCTGGAGGCAGCTTCTTCTCCGGCAGAGACAGGGAAGGGCTACCGGTGGTCCCCAGCTCGGTGTCCTTCTCCTCCAGGCTCGAAGTGGGGAGAATCAGAGTCTCGGGTGGTGGGCTGCCCTCCTGGATGGGCAGCTGATGCCCATTGGGTTCCCCTTCTCCTTGGTCCTTCAGTGGATCCCGTTTGGGAGAGATCTCTCTGGACAGGCCAGCCACAATCTGAGATGCCTCTTCTTCTGGTTTCATCTTGGGTGCCTTAGCTTTAGTCCCTTTCCTGCTCCGACGTTTGGCGATGAAATAGATCCTGAGATACACCAAGATCATAATGAGGCAAGGAGCGAAGAAGGAGCAGGTGCTGGAGGAGAGGATGTACCAAGGCTGCTCATTCAGTTCGCACCTTCTGGCGTCCTCTTTCCTGTTCTTTGGGTTCTCGTTGACAACCAGTGGGGGCAGGGAGATGAGGGCTGCGATCAGCCACACCACGAGGATGGTCCCTTTGATCCTCCGCGGCGTCCGCTTGGAGTTGTACTCAATGGCTTGGCTGACGGACCAGTATCGGTCCAAACTGATGGCGCAGAGGTGCACGATGGAGGCAGTGCAGAACAAAACATCCAGGGCCAGGTAGGCCTTGCACCAGATCTTATCAAAGTACCAGTAGCCCATCAGCTCGTTGGCCAGCGAGAAGGGGATGATCAGGGTGGCCACCAGGATGTCGGCGGCCGCCAGGGACACCAGGAAGAGGTTCTGGGGGGCTTTCAGGGATCGGCTGGTCAACACGGCGATGATCACCAGGACATTGCCAAAAATGGTGAAGAGGATGAGGAAGGTGGTGACGGCAGCGATGGCGGCCGTGGCTTGAGTGTTGTAGCCTTCATGGCCACCCATGGTAACCATGGTCATTGAGGAGAAGCAGGCCAAGGATGAGTCCTGACGGTATGTGGGTGTGACTCACTTTCTCAGCTTCACAGGGTGCAGAAGATCCACAAGACGGGAGTCCCCATTTGTCCTGACTCAGAGGAGGCGAGAGAAGTTCATCGAGGCATTGCTTCCACCGCTTCTTCCATGCTTGGGTTCTGACACCAGGAACGTCTACTAGTCCGGCTTTCCTGTAAAACTGCACCGGCTGCCGAATTCTGTGCTCATTTGCAGCTCGGCTTTCTTCGGTCCATGGCAGAGGTATCCTCTCTCTCTCTCTCTCTCTCTCTCTGGTCTTTTATCTCCCTCGTCGGAAGCCCCGATGCTCTTGATGGGCTCCTTGGTCAGGACAGCTCAAGAAGTTCGATGCCATCACCCCCCCTTCCTCCTTTTCGAGAAAGTTGAGAAAGAGAGAGAGGGAGAGAAAGAAACAGACAGCTTGGCGGATGAGCTGCGCTGTGCGCTTTCTCCCCTTCCTCTCCTGCCTGCGCTGGCTGTGGACAGACCAAGCCTCCCAACGCCTTATGAAAGGAGCCGAAGGAGGAGTTGAATTTTTCTCTCCACGCTGCATCTCTGACGTGTGATGTCAGGCAATTTTTTAACAATTTGTCAGGCTTCAGGAAGGGAGGCAGAAGAAGAGTATGAGGAGAATGGACAGGGACACACACACATATATATATATACACAAAGACACACACACACACACACTTTAGTAGCAGCTGCAACGGCTTCTTGGAGAAGCCCTTACCTCCCTTTGCAAGGGGGTCCCCTCTGAGGTGCCCAGCTGAAATCTGTCGGTCTCTCTTCACTCCTGCCAGAGGAGAATCGCCAAGGCCTGGGTGTGCCTTTCTCTCCATCCAGGTTGCTCTGTAACTAAATTATATCGATAGCTGGGCGATAGGATGACTCAGAGAAAGCCAGCTTTCCTGCCTTTAAGTGCTTCTTCTGAGGGGGGGGGCTTCTAGGAAACTCGGTTTTGGGGACTGTGAAGTGTGAGTGTGGCTGTTACAATCATAATCTGCAATCTCACAAAAACAGACCACACTATGATACACATATCTCACCAACTGCAACGGCTTCTTGGAGAAGCTCTTACCTCCCTTTGCAAGGGGGTCCCCTCTGAGGTGCCCAGCTGAAATCTGTCAGTCTCTCTTCACTCCTGCCAGAGGAGAATCGCCAAGGCCTGGGTGTGCCTTTCTCTCCATCCAGGTTGCTCTGTAACTAAATTATATCGATAGCTGGGCGATAGGATGACTCAGAGAAAGCCAGCTTTCCTGCCTTTAAGTGCTTCTTCTGAGGGGGGGGGCTTCTAGGAAACTCGGTTTTGGGGAAATCGGTCAGATTTGGGAGGAGGAGGAGGAGGAGAAAAGGACAGCAATGTCTCCCACTCCAAAAATGGGGGGAAGAAAGGAGGAAAAGAAAGGATCTTTACACCACCCTCGGGTCCTTGACTTCTGAAGTTAAATCCTCTTGTCAGATCTGGTGCAGCTTTTAATCTAGTTTCAGAACTGAAACAGAACAAATTTAAGGGTGGTTAGAGAGTATAATCTATCTGAAGGCAAATACTTCACATTTCGGTCATGGGAAGAATGGCAGGTTTCCTCAGATGGGGGTTGCTTCCCCTCAAGTCCCTGGCTCTGAATATTGTCTATTTCTGGAATGAGCTCTTATCTCCATGGAGGAGGTTTTAACTGGTTTTTAACTGGTTTTATTGGGTCATTTTTAAATACTGGCACATGTTTAATTTTGTCGCAATACTGTAATCTATTGTCATGTTTGTGGTGTGAGTCTTTTAGTTATTTGCAAGCTGGAAGGAAGGAAGGAAGGAAGAGAAAAAGAAAGAAAGAAAGAAAGAAAGAAAGAAAGAAAGAAAGAAAGAAAGAAAGAAAGAAAGAAAGAAAGAAAGAAAGAGGAAGGAAGGAAGGAAGGAAGGAAGGAAGGAAGGAAGGAAGGAAAGAAAGAAAGAAAGAAAGAAAGAAAGAAAGAAAGAAAGAAAGAAAGAAAGAAAGAAAGAAAGAAAGAGAAAGAAAGAAAGAAAGAAAGAAAGAAAGAAAGAAAGAAAGAAAGAAAGAAAGAAAGAAAGAAAGAAAGAAAGAAAAGCCAGGGAGAAATATCTAGGGAAGCAGTGAGGAAAATAAACTGGAGCAGGGGGGACGAACTGGGAGTGTGAGAAGCAAGGAAGCTAAGGACTAAAGGAAGGAAGGATGGAAGAAGAAACAGAACAGAAAAAAGGATAGGAAGCAGAAGATGACAAAGCCAGGAAAGGACAGGCTGAGGGAAGGAGAATGGAGGAGGTCTGCAGAAGCTACAGCAAACAGGTGAACCCCAAAGTCCAAGAACCAAGTCCACACAAGGACGTGAAAGAGACGGCTGAGCCTCTCGATGGATCAGGCCTCGGGTCTCTTTCATTTTAATTTCCCCTCTCCTTGTTCCGTGTCAACAAACGCACCCTTCCATGTCAAAACGAAGCTACAAATCATGCAAATCCTAATAACCGAAAATAAACTGTTGACTTTCCTGACAGCTGTCTCTCGCTTTCACTGGGTGGTACGTTTGTGTGTGTTGCGTGTGTGTGTGTGTGTGTGTCTACACACACACACAGGATAGATTTGCAAGAATTAAATTGCTGGGGGGGGGGTGGAAATTACAGGGAGCAGAAGCCTTGAAGCTCTCCCTGGGTTGATGGATATCAAATGCACAATAGGAGGAGGGATGTTTATTTACAGAGGAAACGTCATATATATTTTTTTCAGAAGGGAAAGCAGCTCCTCTTTCTACCTCTGCGTTGAATTATTAAGCAAATTCTAAATTGCCCCAATCCAGAATCTCTGCGTACATCACAACCTCCTTCTGCATATTAATATTTCTGTTTAATCAGAAAACACATTTCCCATCAAGCAGCCACCACACCGTTTGGGGAGGGCTGGAGATGTGGTAAGAGCCGTCATTAGAAGCCCCCAGAGAAACGGGAAGCCGGCATGGCTTAAGTGCTCCAAAGTGCAGACACTGAAAAGGCAGACAGTCTCTGCCCCAGACAGCTTACAATTAGGAGTGAAGTCTGTCAGGAGGAGGCCGGGAAAACACTTGACTGGCTGGCCAGCCTTCACAAAAAAAAGGGGGATGAAGTCGCCTCTCATCTCCTGGTCTAACCGCACCGCTTCATATTTCAGCAAGAGATATTTTGGAAGGGAAAACTCCCATCCATTATGGGCTTTCACGCTGTGCCTGCCCTTCGGAGCCTCGATTCCTCCATTAAGGAGTGGTAAGGGAGTTTGCCTGCCAATGGCTGGGCTCCTGCCTTCATCGGGAACACGTCATCTATGGCACTGTGAATGGCTCAGCACTGAAGAGAATTTCCTTCCCACTGTTTGCCTCAATTCCCCCCCCCCCTATAAATCTTCATCTCGGGGGAAGATTCTCCAAATTATTATTTAATGATACACTGGATACTTGGTTAGGTGTTTTCGACATCCCGGCTGTGTAACTCATGACATCCCAGCTGGGGATGTGAAGCCAGAGGTTGGGAGTTCGATTCCCCCACTGTGCATCCCGGAAGGGCCAGCCTGGATAGCCTTGGGCAAGCTGGACAGTCGTCCCAAAGCATCCCCAGAGAAAAACAGAACGGCAAACCACTTCTGAGTATTCTCTGTCTAGATAACCCTGAACAAGGTCTCCATAAGTCAGAATCGACTTGACAGCACATGTTTCTGCTGATGATGATTTGTTCATAGTCTTTGACTATGACATTGAGCAGTTGATTGTTTTTTCTTAATTGGTAATTTGCTTAAAGACATGCAAGGGTATCCGGGATACTTGTTTGCACCGGATAGGTAACATGCAGTGCTATTTAGGGCAACAATGGAGAACTTCCTTGTTTTCTGGAATGATCCCCTGTCTCATGACTTGGGGGCACCTTTTGAGCCTTCCTGTACTACTGCTTCCATTTGGACTACACTGTTCTCCAGACCGCCTAGGGCAGATGGGACCTGGGTTTCAGTAACACCTAGCGAGCCCCCCCAACTTTCCTGTTGGAGACTCCAAGGATGCCTTCTACAAAATGGCACCCTCCAAATGGGGGTGATGGGAGCTGTAGTATAACACATCTGGGAGGCGCCTGCTCCGAAGTGAGTGAGCAGCACCACCCTTTTTTTTTGGAGCTATTTTCCACACACCCCTCTTTCCAGATTATAGCGTCCACCAGTCCCTTTGGGTTGGTCTCTTAGGATTTCTCCAGAAAAAAGGTTGACTCTCTCTTTCTTTGTTGGGTGTTGGGATGTCCGTGGCACATGGGCCCCAGGATGCCCACTCTTCCTCTGAAGCAAGAAATGAGGCCCATGTGTCTTCATTCTATCCCCCATCCCCAGCAACATTGTCACTTTCATCAAGTGTCTTGGCCTTAAGCTGCCTTTGGAGTTTAATTGAAAAGCAAGGTATACATCATTTAATAATGGCAAGCAGGTGTTATGTCTTAATGGCTGGATCTTCCAGGGCCGGCTCTGTTATCAGCCCCGGTAAGGCAGGCACCTCAGGAGCATTGATGGAAGCAAAGGCACCCCTCTTCTGTCCCCCCACTGCCCAAGAAAGACCCCTGCTACTTTGGGGAGCTGCCAGTATGGACACCCCTTTAGTGACCCCATGAACTGTCCCCTCAGGCAGCAAAATCTCTTGGGTCAGCACCAGCACCATGCTTGGGCTCCATATTCTCTCCCTGTGGAAAATCCAGCATCTTTCTCTCTCCCTCTCAGTCCTGTTTTCACCTTTATGGTTTTTTCGTCCTTAAAGGGAAAATAGTGGTTTTAAGGACGTGACCAGGGTCAGAAGAGAGAGATTGGGAAACATCCACAGCCCCTCACATGGCCACCTCCAACCACTCTGCAAGGCCAACAGCCCCGTCGGGCGTGAGGTTTGAAACCGGTCCGAAACAAAACATCCGGGAGAGCTCAAGCGTGGCGCTCTCTCTGCTTCTCGCTCTTTCCCTGTGCCATCGTAACAACTGTGGAAGATCTCCAGACAGAACTTTTAAACAGCAAGAAGAAAGGAAAAGTTTATGTACGGATAGGGCTGTGGGGAGGGGGGGGCTGGAAGAACGGCCTCCGAGCTCCCTCTGCTGGCTCAGGATTTTTACAACGAGACCGTTCCTAGCACCAAAACAGGATGGGATGAAGAACACCTCCTCGTTCTCCAATGGACCTGGACTAGCCTTGGAATCTTAGCACGGCAGAAGCTGGAAGGGACCACCCTGGGTCATCCAGTCCAGCCCCGGTCAAGGAGTCCCCGTGGAGGAATCGAACTTCTTTTTTAAAGAAACGGGCAAGGTTCTTTTGTGAAGGACCGGCGACATTAGGAATCAAACTTCTTCTTTTTTAAAGAAACGGGCACACACAAAAACCAAGAAGGTTCTTTTGTGAAGGACCGGCGACATTCAGTGTGGTGGGTGAGGGTGTTCTACCAGTTTCTCTCCAGCTGAGGCCTGGGCATAGATGGGTAAGAAATGGTCCATGTTTCTCAATAGGACAAAAGAGCACACAGGTGCTGAACGGTACGCCTTCAAGAGCACGGACGTTTATTCTGTTTGCTTGGTGCACAAGACTCTGGGCACCGTGTCGTGACATTGCCAGCATGGCTTCCAGCAGACAAGGAGATCATCGATCCCAAGCGGACTAGTTGCAACCACACCTTCCAGGGCTCCCTGCAGAGAGATCACAGGAGGCATCCCTTTCATTCCAGCTGTGTGCACCTCTGTCTGAAGATTACAGGTCCCACACGCTTAGCTCCATGCATTGGGGGGGGTGGGGGTTGTTAGAACCAGAACAAACCCATGGGGAAGATCTGCTCATTCCCTCCATCACCTGCTTCACTTCTAACGGGACCTCTGCTTGTCAGAGATTTTGGGAAAGTTGCCCGGAGCCATCTGAATGAGCCGCACACTCAAGGTGGGACCGGAAAGTGCTTACCTGTAGCTCTGATGTCTCAGTAATGGGTACAGTAATCTGGTGCCAGCTGGGGCCCTGGCCCCCCTTCGTAGACCACGCCTTGTGCCATTCCGAAGAATTCAGCAGCTTTATATAGAAGTTTATTTCACCTTCCAAAGGAGTCGGGGACCGGCAAAAAGGAACAGAGAGCAGGCAGAATTAGAATGGCCAGTCTGTATTTCTCAGTCTTGCTAGATACACTGGTGCTGAATTCATTAATTCATTAATTCATTAAATCATTAATTAATTCATTCATTCATTCCAACTTTAGGGGAAGCTTACATGTCACACTAGAAAACCCAGTGTGGGACTGCCTAATGGGAACCCCAAACCAATTACCAGTGGCTATTGTTGTTTGTTTGTTGTTGTTGGGATATAGAAAGCCCAAGGTGCAATCCTGACACCTCTGGTCAAGGCCCCTGGCCATGTTGATCAGAAGGTTCTGGGATTTATAGTCCAAAGAAGGTACATTCCTAAGACCTTTTTTTTTGCCAGCTTATCTGCCCTTCCCCTTCCATACTCCCTCTGACATGGAAGCCACTTACCCGTGTGAGCATCCGTGGTGTTGTACCAGAACCTGAGACACCCAACGCCGCTCATGACTGGGCTTATCAGGATGGCCTTCTGCATAGGAGCTAGGCCTGAAGGTTTCAAGGAAATGTGACCACCTGGTTGAACAGAGGACATGACCTGAGCTTACTCCATCTTCACTGTTTCACAAGACATCTTAAGACCTTCCCCACCCCCTCCAACATACTTTGTGATACAGCAGGAATTGAGAGGGTGCAATCCCTTTCACATATTGCTGGAACAACAGGTAAATTTAGCATTGGGGTTCAAAAAAAATGCACCAGTGCTACAAGTACAGTCCATGTTGGGGATGGACCAAGAAAGTGTGGTGACTCCAATTTGCTGGGGTGGGGGGGCAAATCCACTTCAGATTTTAGTCCAGGAACCTAGTTGGGAGGGAGGGTTCAGCACCTGCAAAATTCAAACTGAAACCCAGATTGGATTCACAAAACGAGAGTCCCCAGCTTCCACTGAGTTTGATGGGAGCTGCAGTCCACAAATCTGGAAAGCTACACCTTCCCTGATGCTGCGTGAGAGCCTAGACATCAACCGGAAGAGAATAGGACCAAGTGGCCATCCCTTTAGGAATTCTCCACCACACAGACCACCAAGTGCATCTGGACCTGCAAAGAACACAGAAGCCATTGATCACCTGAGGTCCTGCAAGGTGTTCCAGAGGTGGACCCATCTTCCACAGGCACAGCAGGCAGCTCTTCCTCCTTTTCAAGCACCCAGTCCAGGTCATCCTTCGTGCTCTGCTTCCAGGAACACAAGTCCTTCTCGAAGGAACAGAAGAGAGGCTGTGTTGCCTTTGCTGTTCTTTCATGGATCACTGGATCATTCCCAACCTTTGTCAGATTAGAAGGCAACCTCCAGAGAAGACCCAGTGTTTTGGACACCCTTGTGGCTTCTGCCGGCTCCATTGCCTTCGCCACCTTTTCAGAGGAGAAAGACCCATCCTTATGGCCAACAAGAGGGTGACCAACATGTACCTTGAAGGTTCCGGGAACAGGCATGAGGTGTGTGAGCCCACCTGCAGAGGCCGTCCAGGTTCTTTTAAGCACCTGCTCCATGGAAGATTCTTTTGTCAGCTTCAATTTCCTGGGACTGAGATGCTCAGGAAATCCCACCATTTCCAGCAAAGACCTCTTGGCAACATGATGGAGGGAGCCTGACTTGTCTACAGAGGAATCCCTGTTGCTCATTGGCTTCATTCTGGTCCAAGGGTTCCTCGTGGCTTCCTCCACCTTGTCAACAACTTGAGCTTCAGGAATTTGTTTGGATGGCTCCTTAGAGGATGGAATTATTTCCCCAATACTCCTTCCTACATATGTCCGGTTCATTAGAGGAAATCTGCTGGGATCCTGCATCTCTTCTGGGCCTTCAGTTGCATGTGGCATTATGTACTTTGACCAGAATCCATTTCCCACTGAGCCAGATGTTTGATGGTGCCCCCGTGAAATTCCCAGGGCCACAGTAGCTTCTGCCATGGGTGCTGTGTCCCTCAAATACACATCCTCTGCGTTGACCTCCAAAGGAAATGTTCTGTCCACCTTATCAGTGCCAAGAGGCTTCTGGACACCAGGAACCGAGGTGGTCACTTCCCTCAATTGAGTCTTTGAGCCGGGGATCATGGAAGCACCAGAATGGAGTTTGCTCGTGGGACCAACAGTGTTCTGTGTGGACCATTTCTCCTCATGAACAGTTATAAATTTTCCTGTGTCCTCAGTGGAATTAAAGTAAGTTGATTGCGGTGAGTCCCATCCACCCATGTTCAGGGTTCCAAAACCAGTCTGTCTAGAATCTTTGACTTCAATCCTTGTATATATGGCAGCCGTTGATATTTCAGATTTATATATGCCACTTTTCAGTGTGAGATTTTCTCCTTTCTCCCCCGAGATCAGCTTTGTGCTGTTTGATCCAGTTGTCTCCTGGATAGATTCCTCCAGGGACCCAACTGCAGTCTGAAGTTCACGCTGGTGGGTTGGAGGAGTGCTCATCGCAACGTGCTCCTCGTGAGATCCCAGGACGGAACCTCCAGCAGAAAGTGTCCCGTGTCTTTCCACCAACAGAGGAATACTAGCGCCAGTCTCCATTGCGGTGTCTCCTCTTTCCCTGGAAATCGTATTTGTGGCCTCTTTGGAACCAACAGGTGCATTTGACTGGCCTGCTCCAAAATCTGGAGATATAGCCCTGGTCAAGTACGGGGCCACGGAAGTGCCCACAGTTACAAACGTCCCAGCAGACGGCAGAAACTCTGTTCTTTCGTGGCTACCAGAAGATCCCTCACTGACCTTCGGGAGCTGGGGAAGCTCTAGGGAGCCAGGAGTCAGGAAGAGATCTGTGTCTTCAGTAGGAATGTGAGCTAATGTTTTGGGCTGCAAGGTTGACTCCGCACCACTTCTCCCAGGTATGACATCTTGACTTGGCCTTGTCACCCAGTGTCTCCCCTGGAGGGACGCCGTCTCTTCTCTGACACTTCCTGGCTCAGAGGGTCTTCTTGCTGCAGGTGGAATTGCTACGCTGGCTGTAGAGGCAACTCTCTTCTCAGGGCCTCGTTGCAGGGACTGTGGAGCTGGGCTCTCTGAGTTCATCACCGGTTCTGTTCCCAGGAAAGACAAAGAGCCTGAGGGAGGTTTCAAAGCTGGCTTCCTAAGAACTGAGACGATGGAGAAATGGGAAGGACCGGTGCTAGTGGATTCAGCAGGTGCTTGACCGCTTGGATTCCCTTGAGGCCTCTTCTCTGATGGTGTCTGTGTCAGTTCAATCCTCCTTGCAGATGATGTCTCTTCTTTGAGGACCCCTGCGTAATGGCCGGTTCTTTCTCTCCCTCTCAAGTTGTGGGAGCCATTCACCCAGCTGAGACTGGTGCCTGCCTCTGTCACCGGGAGAGGCTTCCCTTCCAAAGCAAAGCTCTGTTCTTTGGTTCCTTGCCTTCGCCTTTCTCCGTTTGTAGCTCCTGGTTTTAGCTGTGCATGCAAGGAGACCTTTCTCTTGGCAGTGCCTTCCCTAAGTGGAGCCTTTGTCCCAGAGAAGGACCCACATTGTCTTAGAGGCACCGTTGTTCTCAGCCCACTTGGGCTCCGGCTTTGTATCCGATCCTGCCCTTCTCCAGTGAAGAGGGGAGGGGAGGGCTGCCTCTGATTTCCTGCTGTCCATTGCCCAGGTTCGGTGGGCCCTGGGCTCCTCAACGGCTCAGTGGACAACAGTCCCTGAAGACTCTGCTTTCCATGAGTCTTGGCTTCTTCGGAGGGTTCAGTGCCAAGTTCTCCCTCACGGCTCCCGTGGGTCCTTTGCCCTGCAGTCGGCTTCTCCCGTCTTGCAGTGGAGGCTGCTTCCATGACATGTTCTATTTCCCCTCCTTGTGCCCCTTGAGGTGGATCCCATCCCACAGAGAAGGCAGTAGGGCTGGAGCCTTCCCTATTGCTCGACTGTGGCCATGAAACTGTGGACCTTAGTCCAGCTGTCTTTGGGCTTGGAGGCCGAGGTAGACGTGTTCCCTCCATAGGACGTGTCGCCTGGTTGCTTTTCGTTACTGGTGAAGTCCATTCCTCTAAAGTGGAAACTTGGCTTGGCAAGTCCACATGGTCACCGGGGGTCCATCCCTCTGCTTTCACAAAGACAGAGCCCATAGTTGTGTGTTTAGCAAATGTCACCCTTCTGTAACCCTTCCTTGCCCTGTGAGCAGGTGCCAGGGAAAATGGTTCCTCTTCCAAAGAATAACCTGCAGAGTTTCCCCGCGAGACAGTTGCCTCCTTTTGCCTTGAAGCAGCAACACGACCTGTGACTACAGCCCAAGGAACTGATGGAGTTCCACCTGTAGCCCAATCAAGGTGGTTTCCTGGTGCCTTTACCCTTGCAAGAGATTCTTTGCCAGGAGGCTCATCATGTTCCAATTTAGTTCTTGCACCCTGTTTTCTCCCACCAGAGGACCACACGCTTGGCAGCATACTCACTTGACGGCCATCTGAGCTTTCTACAGCCTCTTCCCCCATCCTAGTCTGGGTAGGAACATTAGCAAAGCCCAGGGTTTCTTCTTCCAGTTCCACAGCCCTGGAAGATGTGGCCAGGTTCCTGGAGACTCTCAAAGCAAAGGTCTTGTAAGAAGAACTCCCCACTGGGGAGGTATGGGTGGGGTGGTCTGTTTCATTTCCAGAGATGCCTATGGTTTGACGGTCCATCTTTCTTGGTCGTTCCTCGTGGTCCTCTTCTAGCATGGAGAAGCTATAGCCCTCAGTTGGGTTTGGAGAGCCACTTTCAACCTCAGGCTCACGGCTTCCTGTTGCCAGCGAGCTACCCATTTCCAAAGCAGTGGGCAATTCTGTACCATGCTTTCGGGGCATGGCTCTCGTGGGTCTAGAAAACTCTTCCTCCGTTTCTTTCCTCCCAGGCCTTCTTGTTGGTCCTTGGACCACATCTGCGGAGAAAAGGGCTGGGCCTTTGGTCAGAAATGAAGGCAGAAATTCCATCTTGGCCGCTGTTCCTTTCCTTGCTTCGTGGAGACTCGGCTCATTTGTGAAGGAGGCCCCCCGATAGCTTGGAGGCTGTCTTCCCAGCTCCCTTGGTCTACTGGTGGGGCTCGGTGGAGTTACAGAAGTCTTCTTCAATGCACCGACAGTTGTTGGAATCTCCATTTCCCTAGACTGGGTTTCGTCATGTGGCATCTTCTCTGTAACTGCAGGAAACTCGCCCCTGACCTTTTCTTCACCAGAGGTCTCTGGAGACCCCTTGGTCTGCATCTGGTTCTCCTTTCCAGGTAGCCAAGTTATCTTCATGTGGTCTTCAGGAACACTTGTGCCTCCACCTACAGCCTTACTGCTGGATGGCCCTGGGGTCCCCAGGGTCTCTTGGGTAGCAGGGGCCATTTCTGTAGCAGATGCAACGGCGCTGAAAGTCTGTGCAGCTGAGGTGTCCACTTTGCTCAAGGCTGAGCAGGGCGGAGGCTCACTTGGAATGAAATCCATCATATTCTCCCTGATGACCCTCTCCGTTGATGCTTCTGAAAACAAAGATGAACAACATCGGAAAATCTTTCCCACAGCTATTCCTTCTCTGTACACATCCTCTAATATAGTTAGCCTACATGCAACTGCTAAATTCAATTAGAGTTGATCCACCTGCAAATGTGGTTAACTATTCAACAACTGACCTCATGGGTCTTCCCTGGCTGAAACTATCTATTAGATTTAAGCCATAGTCCTCATGGCTCCATCCCAGAAGAGACACACACATGAATGATGGATGCATTTGTATGTGATAGTACTTGTATGATGAACAATTTTGAGGTGTTAGGTTTGGTAGACTTCCTAAGAGACCTGTGTTTCCTCAATATTTAATGCAAGGAACCCAACTGAAACATGTGGATTGGAGAGATTAAAATCCACACCACCTCCTATCTAGCCAACTTCAGCAGGTTAGGACATCCGCTTCATCGTACTTCCCAAATACAGCTGCAAGAATTTTGCACCACAAATGCTTCTTAGAGAGTGCAGATGTATCACATATTCAAATACTTGAAAGGCAGTCCTACAGAGGAGGGGCAGGATCTGTTCTCAATCATCCCAGAGTGCCGGACACGTAATGGGCTAAAGCTACAGGAAGCCATATTCCGGTTGAATATCAGAAAAAAAACATTTTAACAGTTAGAGCAGTATGAACCTATGACCTGGGGAGACGGTGAGCATCCAACAAAGGAGCTCATGTCCTTGGGAGGTGGTGAGTGCTCCAGTGCTGGAGGCATTCAAGAGAAAAGTAGCCAACCCTCTGTCAGATCTGCTTTAATTTGGATTCCTGCACTGAGCAGGAGGTTGGACTGGATGGCCTTAGAGGCTCCTTACATCTCCATTATTTTGAAATTCTGTGATTCTATTAGTTGCATTTTAAAGTGCAGAAGAGAAAATGTGCTCTGTTTAGCTCTAAAGCAAGCCAACACACACACACACACCAAGATCCCTGCATCCAGAAGAATTCGGAAGCCATCTCCCTTCCTTACCTGGCTGTGCTGCAACCTGAGAACACTTATAGAGCTTGTTCACTCGAGCAATATCTGACTGGCTTAGGTTCCATCTTTGACCAAGAGGAGTGGAAGAGCCGGAGAGTGGGATGATGGTAGGTAAGCCGGTCATGCTGAAAGCATTCCTGATGGGATGAGAAATAAGAGTGAGCAGTGCGACATTACTGGTATATATCCTTGGACACTCAAAGGTCCACTGGGTTGATGTCTAGTCCACCCGTTTGTGCTTTGGGCAGAATATCTTCAAGACATCTCCTCGTCCTCTCCCACAAGAGAAGGGGCAGAAATGTTCCAGTTTCTTTTTACTCAACTACACAGTTTTCTTGCTTTAATTCTGTTTTCACTTATTTCCACATCAGATGGCCAAACATGAAACAGAAATAAAGTCAGCTTAAAACAGGGCACCCATTTTGTGGTGCTTATATATGGACCCACACATACTATGGATTTAAATATATATCGTTTTGCTAACAATGCATTTTTGCAAGTAGCTCCACCCAATATGATATTTGTTATTTCTGTGACTAAATGCATTTATGTTCACTGTGCCTCATATAGGCACCTTTTGTGTGTGTTTTCTACTTTTTTTAAAGTAGTTTTTCCAAGCTCTGATTACAGTTCTTTCCTGTGCTGCAAGACTCCCTGTTGCTATTTCTAGACATCTTATGATTCGTGAGAGTAGCGTTTCAGAGACAGAAAGTGACTCAAGTACAGTGGTGCCCCACATAGCGATGATAATCTGTTCCGGAAAAATCGTCGCTATCTGGATTCGTCACTATGCGGAACAAAAAAGCTCATAGGAATGCATTAAAACACGTTTAATGCGTTCCTATGGGCAAAAAATTCACCATTATGCGAAAATCTTCCATACGGCCACCATTTTCACTGCCCGGTAAGTGAGGAATGAGCGCAAAAACACTGCGGGCAGCCATTTTTTTACCCGGTGGCCATTTTGGAACAGCCAATCAGCTGTTCTAAAAACATTGCTATGCGAAAATCGGTAAGCGAAACAGCTTACCGATCATCGCAAAGTGATCTTTTACCATTTAAAACATCGCAATGCAATCGCAAAAACGATCGCAAGAAAAACACATTGCTATGCGGATTTGTTGTTAAACGGGGCGCCCGTTATGCGGGGCACCACTGTATTTCCTGAGACTTCTTGGAGAACATTCATGGCTCAGGCATCGTGTGGCATTGTACAGTAATGCTACCTCCTCTGTAGCACGTCCGCTTACCTGCCATAGTGCATGACCGAGGAATAGTCATAGTCCACCAGCATATTGGTGTTCCACGACTTCATGAAGTTCATCTCAAAACCTGAAGAGGAAATGGAGGGAAAGGGCGTCCCTCAATGAGCCACAGCATCTCAAACACTGTGGCTGTCATGAGCAAGTTTTAGGCAGGTCTTTAGCTGGCTCTGCTACAGGGCTGGGGAACATGGGGCTCCCCTCACGTCATTGGACTACAACTCCCATCAGTCCCAAACTGGCACAGCCCGTGAGGAGGAATGATGCAAGCTGCAAGTCAAAGAGTCACAGATTTCCCACTCTGTCCTGGGTCAGCCTCAGGTTTTAGTGTGGACTTCTAGGAAGCTATCCAAGGCAGGGAGTCTCTGAATGAGTTTCAGGACCTTGGAGAGCGATGGGCAAAAATAGATCATCCTTTGAGGTCAAAAGCACCTGGTCTCCAGGAGTTCCCCAGCAGCCCCACTATCCTGGGATAGATCTGGGGGTACAAGCCTAGGATGGGGGTTATCGAGAGCCTTCTTGGAAGGGCAAAGGGCAGCGCAACATATGTCTCAAGCCATGTGGCTTCCGTGGAGGCATAAAAGTCCCTACCACCAGCCACAGCTGTGAACATACTTTCATCCCCTGCCCTTTTACGGGTGTTTAATAGGACGTGGCAAGACTTATAAGCAGCACCCTGACCGTATACCCCACCATGCTGAGCGTTCAAGAAATCCAAGGCTCCACCATCGAGGAACCTTGTCCTACCCCTTTCAACTTCTTAACCACATGCAAGTAGGAGTCCTCAACCCTGAACCCATCGGGATCAAAGTTAGGTGATGAGCAGAGTCTTGACGGCAGGACTGCAGTTTAACCACATGTCGTGAGGCTCATCAGCTTGGAATGGCTATAAAACACACTGGCCAGTTAACTTTGCTGTGGCACTCACTGTACTGTATGGAGCATCTGACACAACTAGGAATCTTTCACCCCCTTAGAATAGTGCATTTTTGGAGCCCATATATTTGCCTGTATCAGTACAGGATTCAATCAATTTTAGGTCACACAAGTGGACTTGCTCTTCTCTAATCAACCCTGGAGTCTGGTTGATGAAAGAGCGATGTGCAGCAGACTTGAGCCTCTGTACAAGTTCTAACCCCAAATCTCTGAAGGACAGTCAGGCTCCTTCCCTCTAGTCTGTAACAACCATCAGCAGCTTTCCAGGATTTAGGACAGAGGTTTTTCCAACCCAGCCTGGAGATGCTGGAGATTAAAGCTAGGAAGATGTGCAATCAAAGCACAGGCTCTACCTGACCTTGTAGAACCAAGCGTGCATGCTCAGTGGCCTCACACAGAACCAGCACGAACACCTACCGGTCAAGATTTCGTTCCAGGAGATGCTGATGTACTTGTCTCGATCCGCTCTTGAGTGCTCATGCCAGAAACCCAAGACGTGCATCAGCTCGTGCAGCGCCACCCCTTTCCCCCGCTGGAGGCAAGCTGGAGCCAGCGAGACCACCTGCATCCCACCAACGCGTCCAATGCTGGAGAAGCAGCTGGAGAGAAAGGAGCCTTTCAAGCTCTCGTCCTGGGGCCAAAGGAGCCGTTTCTCCACTCGCAAGAGCCAGCGGTGCTCAGATGGCGCCTGGATCATTCGGGGCTTTGAAGCTTCGCTTTGCTGGCCACCATTGCAGCTCAGGGGACAGAAAAAAAAATGAAAGAAAAGGCCCAGCAAAATGCAGGCGCACATGTGCCAACGCCAGTGAAATGTGAACTCAAAGAGATCGACATTTTCAGTTAACGGCTTGAATCTACTGAGCAAACTTTTAGAATGCCCAGGCGGGGGGGGCACCACTTAGGAAGCTATTTGTGGGAAATGATGATTCCCACCCAAAAAGCCTCTCAATATGCATATGGATGCTGCTGTGAATGGGGTGGTTAAGAAAGACACCGTGGTTCTAAGGTGACAGCAACCTCCGTACTCTGCTCTTGCGTGCATTTTCCGGCTGGTTACAAGCAACACCCAGTGAGACAGGCAGCCAAACACCCTGGAGAAGGCAGAGCTCGGAAAAGCTGCTTTGGGGGGGACTGTCAACGGCCAGAGTTCTCCAGCCTCCATTTCTGCTGGCCTGCTCGTTGGGAGATACAGTGAGCAATGATAGGGACTCAAGTCATGGGATTTGCTGTCAAGACTGTCAACGCCCAGAGTTCTCAAGCCTCCATTTCTGTTGGCCTGCTCGTTGGGAGATGCAGTGAGCAATGACAGGGACTCAAGTCATGGGACTTCCTGTCAAGTCAGACTTAAGTCCCACCTGTGACTCGACTCAGACTTGATTTGGGGTCTTCTCCCCCCAATGACTCAGACTCAATTTGCAACTCAGATCCCCCCAATGACTCAGACTCAATTTGCAACTCAGAACACACAGACACACCTCCCCTTTTCTGGGGTGGGGGGGGAGGAAGTTTGTTTTTAATAGGGACTCAGGCTCAGCACACAGACACACCTCCCCTTTTCTGGGGGGGGGAGAAAGTTTGTTTTTAATAGGGACTTAGGCTCAGGGCTTGGGACCCAAGACTTGCCCCACGTCTCTGAGCAACAGGCCTCCAAAGCAGCTCTGTTTTCTCCAGCATGTTTGCCTGGGAAGTGTGTGCATTTGAGAGAGAGAGAGAGAGAGAACCCACCTTCAGCAGGAAATGACTCATCCACTAGAATCTCCCCCCCCATTCCTATCCCCCCCGCTTCACCCCAAATCCCCAGCATTTGCCAAATCCTTACGAACCCAGAGAGCGGAGCAATAGAGATGAAGTCCCTCTGATAGGAATAAGGGACAAATTTGATGCATGTAAACCTTGCGAAGTCTTCAAACGCTTCCTGGATTATCTTCACGGTAGATTTATCTGGTGAGGGCAATTAGACAGACATTATAGCCGCAGCAGTTTGCTCAGAACCGAGATGGTTTCCCCAGAGCATTCAGTTGCAAATTCAGCTTTTTTTCCCCCCTCCCGGGCATTAATCAAAAACAAGACATTTTAGTAAGCCGGTGGCTTGCTTTTACACACATCATTACATTGACAATTCTCACCTCCTCTCCACCAACCCCAAGATAATTATCCAAGGGATATTTAGCACCACCGTGGCAGCACGTTCTCACTGAATTTTTAATAGTAAGACTAAGAAGGCATCAATTTTCCCGCATCCACATTCAGGATGGTGAACATTTGTTCCAGAACAGCAAGGTGAGACTGGTGCCAACCAAAGCAGCTTCTATTCCCATCACCAGCCAAGGGAAGAGATACTTGGTTCAGTAGTATTACAAGCACAAAAGTTATTGGAATTGTTGTATATCATTAGCGGAATATGAGCCAACAGTCTGACGTACTTGCAAACAAGGCAAATGCTCTTGCAGACTGTGTTAGCAGACATCTACTCTCCAGTTCCCATGAAGTGCCCGTTTCCGTCTCTTCGGCACTGGTTGGGTGTCATCTTGATTCTTGTGTCCAGTTCCAGACACCGCACTTCAAGAAGGATGCTGACAAACTGGATCAAGTTCAGAGAGGGGCAACAAGGATGATCAGGGGGCTGGAAAGCAAGCTCTATAAGGAGGAAGGTCGGAAGGAACTGGGCAGGTTTCGCCTGGAGGAAAGAAGACTTCGGGGGCGATTTGCTCCTTACCGTATCTGTAGGAAATAACATATGGAATCTGGACAATTCCTCTCTTCTTCGGCCACCTTGGATTGGCAGAGAAGAAGAGTCTGAAGGGACTCTGGATGAGAGAATGAAATAAATAAGTACCGCCCGCTGCACAGCCCCGCCATTTGCAAGATTCAAACAAAGCTGGATGGGTTATATTTTAAAATAAACTGGTTGCCATCGCCTTTATTCCTCAGCAGATGGGGTGCCACTGTTTTTGCCCATGAGATTCTGGAAGCCAATCCTGAGCCCAGAACATGGAGTCTTTTCATTTTCGGTTTTGACGTACTGTGTGCAATACAGTCACAAATGCAAATTGGGGTGGGTCCTTTTGTTGAGACAGAGGACAACCCTTGTGACATCACAGAATCAAGACGAACACAAGGGTTGGAACCGCAAGGAAGGCCCAATGCCAATCTAAATCTATTTGCACGGAACCCTGGCACCAGGTTCGAAGGAGTGCCCAGGCTTCAAAGGAAATCGCACTGTCTCTTTCTCCCAGGGAGCTTGCCCTGAGATTTGACCCAACACTAAGAGACCTGAGGAACTCAACCTGCACCCACGGACCTGCCAACACCAGCCCTGGGTGGACACCGAGGAAGGAGAACATTGCCTGGAGAACACAGCCTGCACCCACAGACCTGCCAACACCAGCCCTGGGTGGACACAGGTATGGGGAGAATCCAGGACTTCTTATGACTTACTGCCTTGATGATGTCCCCCTCCATCAGAAAGCTGCTTTCTGGTGCCTCTGGAAGGATCAGTGCTGGAAGAAAAATAACGGGAGCATTTCTGGAGGAAGCTACACCCCAACACTGCTTGCTTTTGTGATCTTGGATGATGCTACACCTTAAATGTATTTATTTGTTTCTTAAATTTATACACTGCCTCCTTAGTGCAACACACTAATCTGGGTGGTTTATAGTCCACTACAACACAGGGAAAGTATATCAAATTAAAACAGCATGGGGCAAGACATAAACAACAACTCCAGGGGTTGAACTGCAGAATAAAATGAGGCATGGGGGTATATGAACAAGAATGACAGCAAAGGAACACATTAAGCAGGGGTGCAAAAAAAAAAAGGCCTCTCTATAAAGCAGTGTTTTCAAGAGTCTTTTGGACGTGGGAGGGAGGGTGCCAGGTGCAGGTCCACCAGCAGTTGGTTCCAAAGCTCTGAAGCCACCGCAAAGAAGGCCCTGTTTATAGTAGAGGATTTCCTGGCCTCCCTTGGAGTGGCAACCCAGAAGGCCATGGCCTGGGAAGACCTAGGAACAGGTGCAAAGGGTTAGTAACAGCAACACCTCTCTGCAGTGCAGTCCTCGTCACTGCTTATCAAATGATGATGATGTCCAGGCGGGAAGCATCTTACCTTGATTGATGTCAAGTATGTCATCGGATGGGTTCCTGCCCTCCTGCCCCTCAAGGTGCTCTGCTTCAAACGTGTCTCCGCGGCCATGGACGGGCAGAGCTGAGAAGTAGTAGCAGAGACATTTCATCAGCACATTTTAAGAGAAAATCAGCTATAGGATGGAGGCTCCAGCCAGGTCCTCCATGTCTCCTTTCACTGCTGTCTGCATGTCCAGAGAAGCATATTGTGCACTCTTTGGATCGCTTTTGGTGCTCTTTTGTTTGAATCAAATTATGGCATCCACACGTGGTTTGACTTGGAAAGATCCATCCTGGCCCATTTTAGAGCTGTCCCGCTCCTTTTTGGCACAGGTTTTTCAGCACAATTCCGAGCACTCCTAATTCTCCTGTTCTGTAGCCCATGCAGATGGTTAGTTCACACACCCCAAAAAGAGAGCTGTGGGTGGTGTTATCTGAAGTGACAACCCTGCGTTGTATTTGGTGGGTTGTGCCACTGAAAGAGATGCTGTAGGGACCCCCCCCCATTTGCATCTACTCTTACTTTTAAAAAATTGAATACATTTCCCTCCCCAATTCAGCGCTATTCTAGATTAACAAGATACATTGGTGGTAGTGTGTGTAACATGCTAGGTTAATGTACAGTGGTACCTCGCTTAACGATGTTAATTCATTCCAGCGAAATCGCTGTAGAGCGGACATGTTGTAAAGCAAAATAAAAAAGCCCATTGAAATGCATTGAAAACCATTCAATGTGTTCCAATGGGCTGAAAAACTCACCGTCCAGCGAAGATCCTCCATAGGGGCGGCCATTTTCAGTGCCTGTAGAGCGAGGAATCCATCCAAAAACACAGCGGGGAGCCATTTTGAGCACCCGGTGGCCATTTTGAAAACCCAACGATCAGCTGTTTTGATCATCGTAATGCGAAGAATTGGTTCCCGAAGCAGGGAACCAATCTTTGCAAAGCGAAAAAAACCCATGTAAAACATCGTTTTGCAATTGCAATTGTGATTGCAAAAACATCGTTGTGAAGAGTCCTCAGGCTCACAGAGAATGTGACTTTCCTGTTCAGCTTTGGTCAGGTTGACACCAGACATACTTCTCAGAATATCAGGGAATCCCGACCCTGGAAAATGCCTTTGGAAAAGTACAAAGTTCTTTGGCCAACTCTATGACAACTGAAGCCAGTTTCCAAAGTGTTAACACAGACCGAACTTGCAGATCAATTCCATGGAATGCTGCAACTTTTAGTTTGGAGAGGAACTTTTTTCCCTCCTACTCTGCAAAGGGGCATCCTGGACAGCAAAGACTTTTTAAAGCTCCTTTCCAAAGTACAGTGGACCCTTGACTTACAGACGGCTTGACTTACAGACTTTTTGAGTTACAGACTTCTCTGGCCCCAAAATTTAGGTTTGACTTGCAGACTGAGATTTGACTTACAGACCAGAAAAAAAACAAAATGGAACAAAAACGGCCTGTTACGGGATTAATCGGTTTTCAATGCACTGTAGGTCAATGGAGACTTGACTTACAGGCTTTTTGACTTGAGAACTGCCTTCCAATACGGATTAAGTTCTCAAGTCAAGACCCCACTGTACAAACCCCAAAATTGCAGAGGGTGCAGAATCTAGCAAAGTAAAGCAGTATCAAATTCCTCTCACTGTTGATTCAGAACACCAAGATGATAGGGGAACTCAGTTCTTCATCCCAAGACATATTTTTAGGTGCAACATAACAACCCTGCCCAGTCATATTTCCCTGGGTTTTTTCTTTATACTATTTAGAGAAGCAAAAAGCTCTAGAAAACACGACATCTTACACACTGCTGTAACATCCTGCCTGGTCTGAAATGTGGCTTTCAGCTTTTCATTTTTGTTTTCAGTGTTTTTTGGGGGGGGCTTCCCCTTTTGCTTGCTTGCTTTCATCTCAAAATTTCCTCGGTGCACACAGTGAATTTCTGCTGCTACCACACGAGGGCATATTGGTGCACAATATGTGTATATCAACAGCAGGAGCTTTGAGAAAGTTCCCCAAACTGGCATGGAACCTGCACAGAATCTGAGGCCACATAAGGCGAAAGCAAGTGTAAACTGGCCACTAGCACCACCGTTGGCACCTATCACGTGCTATTCACCACAGACAATGTTGAGTGACCCCTTACCTGAAAATAGCCAAAGAAACCCAATCAACACAGGCCAGATCCCAAGAGACACGTCCATGGTTGAACAAGTAGTTCCAGGACCACTTTCTATTTCTAAAGTCACCAGCGTGTGTTGGGGGTGATTAGAAGTGATGCTTCCGTCTAAAGAGAAAGCCTTCCAGTTCTCTAAATAGAGCACAGGTGAGGAAGACACACCTGGAAGTCTTAGGTCTTCACACCTTCAGTTTAACTCCTTAAGGGAAGAAGCCCTTCTTCCTGGCCATGCAGGTTGGTTGCTGTTCTTTGTAAAGCCTGCCCAGCCAAGGCAGAACACTGTGCTAGTGGCATCTGGGTTCACAGGGGACAAAACACAAGGATTTTTTAAATTGCCAACAACAATGGCATTATTGGCCACCAGAACTTAAGAAAGATTGCATAGACTCCTCCAGGCACTCACAGTCAAGCTGGTTGGAGGGGGTTCTTAGAGGTGAAGAAAACAAAACTGTTCCATCAACACTTCTCAAGCTTCTTCGTTCCATCTCAGTTTAGGTCCAACGGCAACAGGGTGAGGGGTTGAATATCTCATAGCACTTTGTTTCCAGTTCTCCCTGTTGTAATGCAATGTATCTTGGAGTGGCTTGGGGATGAATAAGCAATCAAGACCCATTAGCTTGACAAAAGACCTGCTCCCCATAGGGGAAAAATACTAAAACTGGATTGTTGTTGTGGATCAAGACATGAATGCTGAGATTTTCCGTGGGGGCGACATGGTTGTGGGGACTATGATGATATTGCCTACATGCCCAAATTTACAACTGGGTACTTTTCAGGTTTAAAAGGGTATAAGGAAACCATCGTTTCAAACTTAATATAACTAGTAAAATCATGGTTACTTTAGTGATGTCCTGGTATAACAAGCAATGCTTCCCAGTTTTCAGAAAGTCACTTATAAAAAGAATTTCAGGGCATTTCAACAGATTTTTTCAGGCTTTATGCAATTCCCATTTATTTGAAAGGAAACCCCCCCCAAGAAAAAAAATTACAGATGACAGTAACAAAACAAAAAAAAGAAGCAGGACAGACCACAGTTGAGCTTTCAGACATTACTTTTTGGACTACAAGTTCCAGAATCCACAGCCAGTGTATTGGCTAAGGGTTTTGACCATCATAACCCAAAAATGCCATCTTTCCCAGCATGAAACAACCATTCTGATACACTAATGATGAACTGGGGTCCAACCTGGTTAGGGACCGGATGAGAGAACACCAACCATTTCCAAGGACTTTGATGTGAGACGAGGAAATATTCCTGTCGGGAATCTGGGACCCCTCCTGCTGGTTAGAATGGGAAGCACGGCAGCAAATGACTGAGGAGTCTAGCTCAGTATGAGAGAGCTCCCTCTGCTTCTAAGTTTCAACAACCCTGTTCTAAGAAATGGAGGGGGACAAAGTCCAGTACAGAACCACCAAATCCTAGGATGATGGGGTTGGAAGGGGCCTCTAAAGCCATGGAGTCCAACTCCCTGCTCAAGGCAAGGATCCAAGTCAAGATATATCCAACAGAGGGCTGTCCAATTCTCTCTTGAATGTCAAGATATATCCAACAGAGGGTTGTCCGATTTTCTCTTGAATGCCTCCAGCGATGGAGCATGCACCACCTCCCCAAGTAATTCCAGATGTTGCTCAACTACAGCACCCATCATCCTGTTCCACTGCCTATGCCAACCAGAGCGGATGGGCGTTGCAGTCCAAGAACATCTGGAGGCCTGGGCTTTGCCCCCACACCCACACGCAAACCCTGCAGGAATAGGCCCATGACTTTGGCCAAATTATGGCCGTGCACAAGATAATACACATGCGAAAGGCAGAGATGAGGGGCTTCTGGGGAAGCTGTCACCAGGTGCATGCAGGAGGGGATGTGCTTGTGCGTAAGCAAGCCAGTGTGAGAGACACTCTGAACACACCACTGCTAAGTTTAGGGCTTGCGTTGGTGTCCAGGACTGAATGAGTGTCTAGGTCTCGGCTCGCCATGTGCCATTTGGGGAGAGTGGGCTGCGGAGATATGAAGGAGCTGCCGGCTAAATTTAGTGCAAAAAGAACATTTCTGGCTGTGTGGGTGGGTTCCTGCCATGCACACACAGAGAGACAGATTGCGCTGGCATTTCTCCAGCCCCAGAGCTGGTGATGTCGAGACAACGGTTGAGGGAAGCATCTTGAGAACGTCTCCTGTGTGTCTGTTTTGGTTCTTGATGGCCTTAAATAGCCCTGCGATATGCTGCTCCCGAGGAGAGTTGTCAACATTTTTGCTGGACCAACTCATGCTCTTTTGAATGTCTGACATGGAAAAACTAAGTAGGCCAATAAATCCATTCCTGCAAAGCAGGAGAGTGGGAGCGAAATCTTGATGCATTTAATTCCTCTTTATCTGGCTGCTGTTTAAAAAGGCACGAGAAAGCCAAGGTGTATGGGTGGTTAAGACACAAAATTCGGATTTTAGGTAATAGTCATTCAGTGCTTCTCGGCCAGCCACTGTCTCTGAGTCTGATCCACCTCGCAAGATCATCTTCACCTTAGAACTGCAGAGCTGGGAGGGACCCTCTGGATCATCCAGTCCAAGGCCTCTCGAGGAGACCCAGTGGAGGAATCGAACTCCCCTTAAACCACTGAACGATGGTTGGGAAGATTTAAAGAGTCAGGACAAGAGCCAGGAACACCACCTTGAGCTTCTTGAATGCAAGTCAGAGCATAAATGTCAGAAATAAAAAGTTACAGACACAGTCTTTAAAAGCCAGCGTGCAGTACTAGACATAACTGTGGACAACGATCCAGGAAGCCCGGGTTCAAATCCCTGCTCATATACCTTTACAATAATCCTGTGCCGTCAGTTCAATTCTGACTTTTAACGAGACTTTTCAGGGCTTTCTAGGTAGAGAGTACTCAGAAGGGAAGGGTTGACCCTTCCCTTCTTCCGGGACTGCACAGCTGGCCCAAGGCCACCCAGGCTGGCTCTTCTCCCAGGAGGCCCCGTGGGGGGAATCGAACTCCCAACTTCTGGCTCCACAGACAGATGCCTAGCACACTGAGCTATCCAGCCAGCTCCTGTACCTTTATTAGACCACTAAAAAAGGCCACAAACACAAGCCAGCTTTTGACTCCAGAGATCTTCATCAGGCAGAGCTGGCCCAATGAAGACTTGCCTGGGGTCAACATCTAGCATAAGTCTGTGGAGGTTTTTAGTGCTCCATGAAAGGTGCGGCCCACCCACGATGCCTCTCTCATTTTGCCCTCATTAGCTGCAATTTTCTGGAGCTGAGGTCATGAGGGCTCTAGGTGTGAGCCTTGAGCTTCGAATCTGAGGCCAGGGTGGGTGCTGGGAGAGAGAGATTAGGTCCAGAAGCAGCTCAGAGCTGAGCCGGCGGAAGCGATTCTGGGGCTTTCGTCACGCAAACCCCGAGGAAGGGAGGGAGCGAGGGGGAGGCCGGAAACTCTGACTCACTGGCGCCGTGTGCACGCCGCCCCCAGGGCCGGGGGGGGGGGGGAGAGGCAGGATGTCAAGTTAGCTTCAAAGCCCCAAAGCTTAATTCCCGGGCGCTCTGCCCATCAACTGGCAGCAGGTGCCAGCTGGGTTGGCGCTCTTGCTATTCACGTGGCCTACTGGAGAGAAGGATGGGGTGTGCCTCCCACCCACCCCAGTTCACTAACATCCGACTTGATAGTGAATTCCTCCTGCTGGCGCAGGTGGACCTTTGGAAGTGAGCAGTGCCCTGTCCTTCTCCACACCATCGGCCTTCGTGGGATGCTCAAGCCAGCCTGCGCTAAAGCAAGGAGAGTGGGAGAGTGGCGGGGGGGGGTCACATCGGCTCCCCTCATGACTGCAACTCAGCTTGCATCTCCGTGTGCGCAGGAAGAGTCAAACCCCACCTTCCAGTCCATAGCAAGAGGCCAGGTCTGTTGTTTTAAGCAGCTGGCGCTGCGCAGCGGCCAGAAATGTTGACCCAGCCGGCGGCTCTTTGGAGAGAACAGCACATGCCGACGCTCGGCATCCTTTAAAAGGGAATCCGAAAACAAGACTCCTGTTATCATCCTCCCTTTTTTTTACTCTTTTTTGGAGTACGACTCCTAGAGTCACAGCCAGCTATGCTGCTGGCTGGGGAGTCTGGGATTGATAGTCCAAAAAAAAAAGGTACTTGTGTGCCATCAAGTTGCCTCTGACTTGTAGCGATCCGGTGAACGAGTCATCTCCAAAACGTTCCGTCCTCAACTGCCCTGCTCAGCTCTTGCAAACTCAAGCTTGTGACTTCCTTTAGGGAATGAATCCATCTCGTATTTGGCCTTCCTCTTTTCCTGCTGCCTTCCACCTTCCTCAGCATCATTGCATTTTCCAGAGAAACTTGTCTTTCTCGTGATGTGCCCAAAGGAGGACAGCTTCAGCATGTTTGCATGCAGAGAGAGTACAGGCTCAATTTGATCTAGGACCCCCCCCCCTTGTTTGTCTTTCTGGCAGTACACTGCATCCACATAGCTCTCCACCGGCATCACATTTCAAACAGAAGAGTAACATCCCCCAGATCCTATTGCGATTGCCTCAAGAACACAGCACACGAGTCTGGTCACTTCATGTGAAAAATAACATTGCATGCCTGTTTTAGATTGCTCTGCTTTTTAACAGTCGTATCTGTTCTGTCTTCTAATGTCACCAACCACGTGCTTTTCACTGGATCTGTTTTTTAACCATTTGTGAGCTGTCAGGGGTCCTTTCAGAGGAAAGAACAGGAAAGAAAGAACCATCCAAGAGAGATTCAAACCAGCTTTTAATTTTTTTTATAAAAAAATCAAGTCATTTATGGCAACAGGTGTTAATAAATATAAAGTGCAAAAAAGGTCAGTCAAGAACGAGGTTCCCCTAATATCACAAACTGTGTTGCTTTGGGTGGAAGAGAGGGGTATGGAGAGCCGGGAGATGGAGGGCAGGGGCCCAATCCACCAGCAGGAAGATGTCTGGTACAAACCTCGTTAAAACGAGAGGGAAGGGTACAGGATGACACCCCCACCCCCGATTGACTGTAGCTTCCACAGGATAAGGCAAACACCCAAGGGAAGAGTGTGATTTATTTCTTTGGCTGTAACGGGGGGTTGCCTGTTGCTCAGTGCATTCAGAAGAAGAGACTCCACCACCCTTGAAAGGAAGACAGGATTCATAACCCTTCTCCCCAGGCTTGTTCTACCCAGGAGAGAAGGATGGTCAGACTGGCAGTGATTCCTCCTGCTTCCATATCACTGAGGTGGGACATCGACTCTCACCCAAAAACAAACACAGATTCTCACTTTCACAGCATGTATAAACAAACAGTTCCAGGAATCACAGAGGATGCTGGCTAGCCACCGCCTGACTTGTACAAGGGTAAAGACCAGAGTGGACCAGTTCCAGCCACAGCGGTAACTGTTCCAAGTCAACATCACTTGGTGTTTCAACTCTGGCCCAACGATGATTTGAAGTTGATCAGGAAAAGATGGTGAACGAAACACCAGCTTGCTACTGAAAAGCCAGTTTTAACAGTTATTTATTTCCCTAAAGTCTCTAATGCAATGGTTCCCAACCTTGCGTCCCCAGAAGTTCATGGACTAAGACTCCCAGGAGCCTTCATGACCAACTCTGCTGGCTAGGATTTCTGGAAACTGCATGCCAAGAACCTCTGGGGACCCAAGGGTGGGAGCCACCAGTGCTCCAGTGTTACGCCCCAAAGTTAGAGGGGAGTAAATTAAGAGGGGGGAAAGGGCGCTGGCCAAGAACCCCCAAAAAAAAACTAGAGGTGGGGGGAACAGCTTGGGATTTCTTAGCCAGCAGACAATAAGGTCATTAATTCCTTTCCGTTGCAAAAGAGATTCCATTCACCTTTTAACCAGGCAAGGTCCCCTCTTTTATCCAAACCATAATTTTGGGAACCCATCTCTTTTTGTTTTGTTTCTAAACATAAATTTGCTTTGGTGGGACATACCGCTATTGCAACCTTCTTTAAGGCAGGCTGCAACCCAGCACAGGTCTGAATGGTCAGAGAGAGAGCATTTGATGCAGACAGCTAAGACCTCAGGTTCTCAACCTTCCTCTTGACCATGAAAAGGAGAGGCTGGCCTTGGGTGGCAACTCTCTGCTTAGCCTGCCCTACAGACCTCTAGGGGACAAAATGAGGGAAAGCCCTTGTGTGCCATCGTAAGCTCTTTGAGCAGAAAGATGGGGTACAGAAATGATGGGTACCTTACCGCAAGCCCTTCACATCTTATATTCCAGTTCATGGGTTGAACTCTATAGAGCAAATCATTGCTTTTTCCAATAAACTGCATTACAAACACCAGTTCCTCTTTCCCGATCAGTGGATTCAAGCTCACCAGGAGTCTGAAACCCACAGGTTTCATTTACAGTTTTATGCTCACACCCAAGCCTGAGAAAGTTCATTTTTTTGAACTCCCCAAATCCCCCAAACCGCATGGAATTATAATTTCCCCCCTCCCCCAAGTAAAACCCAGCAGAAACTTTTTCCGAGCTCTAGCGCATTGGTTCCCAGTCTTGGGTCTCCTCAGATGTTCTTGGACTAAAACTCCCAGAAGCCTTCACCACCAGCTGTGCTGGTCAGGATTTCTGGAAGTTGTAGTCCAAGAACACTTGGAGACCCAAGGCTGAGAGCCAGGGCTCTAGGTGATAACAGCTGTAAAGGATCAGCTGCGCCACTGATGTAACAACACACTAAAAAAGCACCAGCTTAAACGGGCATCAGCCCAGGTATGCATTCAGTCTGAACATGGAAGATCTGGCCCTAAAAGGATTCACTAGAGGGAGTGGAAAGCTCGCAAACAAGCAGCCGGACCTGCCCTCCGTGTTTCTTCGCTGCTGGCTTATTCTCTTTGCTTTTAAAGTCAGAAGAAGACAAACCAGGACAGAACTCTTTCAGAATAACACCAAGGAAGAAAGTGTTCGAGCCAATGGCAGAAGGCTTCCTTTGTCCCCTTGGTGTCACTGTTCAGTGCAAAAAAAAAAAGAATAATAACGCAGCCTCGTCTGAGTCTACTGCACCCCATGGGGGAGGTAAAACAAGACCATTGTCTTGGGAGTCTCTAGGTCCTTGGAAGGAAGCCGGTCTTCTCCCTTCTTTCCCACGGGGCTCGGTGGGGCAGGCCATGTGAGGCTAGTGGCACAGCACCTCCGTTTCGAACTGCAGCAGCTGCCCCATGAAGCCGAAATTGGGCGAGATGACCCCCCGGCGCTGCTTGACGAAGTCGAAGGCCTCCTCCAGCCGCACCCGCCGGCTCTGGATCAAGTACGCAAGGCAAATGGTGGCCGAGCGGGAGATGCCGGCTTGGCAGTGAACCAGCACCCGCCCCTCGCTGCTCTTCACCGAATCTGCAGGAGAAACACAGAGGGGGGACATCTTTAAGAGGGGGGCCAAAGCAGCACAGGCCAAATCGAACTCTGAACCAGGAAAAGGCACCCAGTGGCGTAAGGTGGCCCCTGCCCCCTTTTTTATGCCATAGGTCGTAGTTCGGGGACTTATGGGTCGTCTCCTCCACCTGGCAGGCCCACTAACACCAGCGCTTGGGGGACCGTGGAAATAAAGCAGGAGAGACGTGCATACACATCCTCCTGGACCACACTGTTAACGTTTCGCTTAAGAGCTTCATAAAAACTGTCCAACGGGATAAGGGTAAGGGTCTACTGAAAGGAGCACCCTCCTCGAGGAAGCTCACGGGCAAGACTGTGGAAGTGTCGTGGTTTGCAGCTGCTCCCCAGCAAATGGTAATCAAAGGTATACTGCTCCACTATGGGGAGGCTCGCCTTTAGAGTGAGTGAAGTGAAAAGCCGTTGGGAGGCCTGTCTCAAAGAATCTGTCAAAGCAGAAGGCTACTGGGGAGCCGAGATTCCCCAAGAGACAGAAGGGGTGGTTTTAAAGGAGATCTTGACCACACCTAAGGTTTCTCTCCCAGGAAGCTCTCAAACAACAGCAGAGAATTCTGGGCACCTTCCTAACATCCAGATCCTAAAATTCCCCATTTTATAGCTAGTAAAAGGGGGTATCAAGTGGCGATAACTGTGGACCAAGAGGTAGGCAGGGTCCAACCACTCACCAATGAAATGAATGGCTTCCTGGAACCAGACGCTGATGTCGGCCATGTGGCTGTCCTCCACGGGGATGCTCTTGTACAAGAACCGCCCTTCGAAGTGGTTGGGGCAGCTGGAGGAGACGTTGAGGACAGCCGTGATCCCCAGCGACTCCAGCACCTCTCGGTTGGATGAATGGTAGCAACTGCCCAGGTAGAGGAAGGGGAGGATCTCCACCGGGCCGCCCTGCAGAAGGAGAGAACCAAGGACAGAGAAAGACATGAAGGTCACAAGCAGGCTCAAAAGCTAAGGGAAGCAGTGTGGTGCAGTGGTTACAGATGTGAACTGGCCATTCGGGACACTGGGGTTCGAGGTCCCTAACGGGGTGGCCATGAGCCGGTTATGCTGCCTCAGCTTCCCCTACCGCCTTGGGGAGGTAGAGAGGAAAACAGCCATCTAGGCTTCGCTGGACGAAATCTACCCCATAAACCATGGAAAGATCTTCTGATATTCTCATCCGGCCCTGCCTGCAAACTCCTGCTCCGCTCAGCCCATGACAATTGGGAAGGATAGAGGAAGATTAAAAAGGCCGATTAGTTTAATCAGACTCCAGGACGGCGGGGGTGAGGCGGCTCTTGAGAGAGTAATTTGATAATGCCATCTGTCTCTGGATTAAAAAGGCCGGATCAGCCGATGCGCCGTGTCTGCACAGCTCTGCGATAAGGCTGCGGGAGCGTGCGCCGGGACGAGGAGCCGTCACGACGGCCAGGCTAGAATCAGGCCGGGCGGGCTTATCCCCGATGGGATGCGTCCTGTGTTCAAATCGGGGTTACGTTCAGAAAAGCAGGTGGAGGGCTTCAGATGGACTGAATTGATATTTGGCATAAGGGCGGGAAAGGTCTCGTGTGGCCATTGGGCACAAGAAGCATCTGAACGCGAGATCAAATCCCACCTCAGCTGCCCTGCATCCCCCCCACGATGGTGGCTTTAACCCTGTAACCCATCTGTCCACCTGTGTTGTTGAAATAATAAAGGAAGCAGGAGCAGCTGTTTTTATAAATATATTCATCAATTAAAGCAAAGGCTCAAGGTTCCCCCCCCCAAGAACTATTCAATTATGAAAAACAAATAAAAAACAGGAAATGGAAGAGAAGGCCATGGAAGCGGCCGCAAAATTTCAGTTTAATGAAAGGTTTAAAATCATTAAAACCTCCTTTTTCCTGCATTATCTCCAAAAGGCAGGTGGGTTCATTTCACCACTGTGGGGGGAGCCCTCCCTATGGCTGGTGAGATTTTCATCAGACGGAAGTTTAATAGCTCTAAATTAATTAAGCCATTCAAATCAGCCTACTCGTCAAAAAAGCTGGGGGAAGGAAACACGCTACCTGGAGCTTATTTGGTGGAGAAGCAAGAAGAGAGCCACAGCAAAATAGATAAATAAAATGTCTATCTAGCAAGTTGAAGGCTCCTTTTTCCAGCTTCATATTGACTGAGTGCTTGAGTTGATGGTGGAGACAAACCAGGGGAACCTACCTGGTCATACAAAGGGGTCATCGCTTCCGTGCTGTTATCTTCAGGGCTTCTCAGGACTGGCGGAGGGCTGGCGGTTATCGGGGTGGGCGCCGTGGAACACAGTTCCGGAAAATTGGCGTGGAAGTTTTCAAAGCCACCTATGAGACAAAAAAAGAAAGCCTTTTAGTGCATCGTTTTCACTATAAAGGGAGCATCACATTTTCCTCTCAAACCTCCTAAGACTTAGGTACTTACAACAGGCACACATTTCCCCCAAACATATGAAAAGTACCAGTTTAGCTACTATGACCTTGAAATTTATTTCTTAAGACACAGGTGGTTGAGATGCAACTATTATTGCATTTTTTTACTGCTTACAACCAGTGCTACTAATATCTGTGATATATTCTTAGTTTGTATGGTGCTGGCGAAAAACAAGGGATAAGATTCTAGCCGTTTGTCATGAACTATTTTTTTTGACACCCGATAGACCGATTTTGGGGGACTATGGTGTATGTGTGTTGGCCTTAACGGTCATGGGGTTTGATGAAACAGAGAGGGGCTGATTTAGAGAAGTGGTGGATTAAATCAGGAAGGCATAAAAACATGCTCATCTAAGGCTGAAGGGATATTCGGATCAGCGATTTACCAGAGATTTACAGTTGAAACAGAGAATGGACCAACCTGAAGGGAGAGATTTGATCATCAAAAGTAATTTGATTGCCAAACCAATCTGCTTATCATTATAACCTCCAGGAGCTACTTCAAGAATTCTGATAAATTAACATTTAAGAAGTTCAGATGAACATTGGGCTGCTGTGTCTCAACTCCCAAGTGGCAATCAATGCCTTCTAATTTGTTTTAGTGGTTGTTCTATGCCATCAAATTATTTCTGACTTATGCTGAGTTTGTGAATTACTGAACTGCAGAATGTCCTACCATGAACAGCCCTCCTCATCTCTTACAAACTGAAGACTGTGGTTTCTTTTCTTGAGTTGATCCATCTCATGACAAGCGCTCCTCTCTCCCTACTGCCTCCCACCTTCCCTCATCTTAACCTCCCAATGAAACTTGGCTTCTTTCAAAGCAGATGATGCAGTTGCCTTGTTGGACTACTACGACTCTCAGGTAGCTTGGCTGGGGAGATTGTGGGAGATGCCTGAGCAAGTTCAGCCTCAAAAGTCAAGTCCAGAAATCAGAGGGTTTCAAGCCATGAAACCCAACAGACTGAAAGGAAAGCCTGCCTTCAACAGAGCAGTATGAGCTTATGGTGGTTGTAGGTCCACCACAAACACCTTGTGACAATGGCCAGTTCCACCTGGTTGTCTGGATTTTATTTATTTAAAATATTTAGATTCTGTCTTTCTCCTTTAAAAAAAAGGACCCAAGGTGGCTTACATCCTCAAAAAGGAAACAATGCTAAAAGTTATAAACAATAAATTGCAACACTTTTTAAAAGCATTAAATATTATAATAGAAACAATAAATAAAACCAGTACTCAAAGCCCAAGAAGCAAAGCTCAAGACTAGCATGCCCACGTAGCATCTGCTTCTATGGGGCTCCGGATAACAACCCCCCCCAATACCAAGGAGGGGTGTACCTGGACGGCCAGCCCCTCGAGGCCCAAGGATGTGCCAGGAGACCCTGGACAAGCCACCTCAGGATGCTCTGCCATTAGGCAATGCCCGAATAACCAGTGCTAAGGATCTCAGGGAGGGCAGCCTGCCCCGTTCCACCCCTGGAGGGAAGGGGTTACTCTATACAAGCAGCCCTGCATTTTGGGGGTGGGCGGGGGCCCAGCGCCTCTTTTCTTTCCAACCTGGCCTCAAAGGTGGATCTGTCTCTGGGGTCTTTGGGCTTAACCCCCTTCCTTCTCACCTAACCCCCCCAAGTCTCGGTCCCCTCTCCTTCCTGATCGCTCTCAGTCACCATTATCTGGCTGTGGAGCCAGAGGTTGGGAGTTCGATTCCCCCACTGGGGCTCCTTAAAAGAGGGTCGCCTCGATGATCCAGAGGGT